CATATTGCTATCAAAACACCGTCGATGGTTCTTGAAGAACCTCATGACTCGGTTGCTAGTGATGTCGAATATAATTCCGTCATTCGTCAGGAGTATGCTCACACAGTATGACAATTGACTTTTACGCTCCAATGTTATGCTCATGGATCATCTCGTAGATCATAGCAAAACACAGAACCTCATTGACAAAGCACATATCCTTGCGCGCAAGCGACGTTCGAAATCTCTCGTCTGGTCAGATCATTTTCATACTTGCTCTGCATGACATTGAAAGTATGCGATCTGCGGCGGGGTTGCCTTCGTCACTTGTTGCATACTTCACAAACGATAGTATCAATAAACACGCTGGCCTGTCTGCCTGTATGGAGTCAGTAGCAGAAAAGGTGTGTACAATGCAACCCTCCCTAATGAAACGTGTCGATCTCTCTTTTAGGTCATTCGTGATTGCATCAACGAATTGAACGCGCAGGCTTCCCAGCAAATGCTGCCCGTTCATCTTTCAGCCGAGCTACAAAATCTCTTGGTCTACACCACTCATCGCATCGAGAACGCGAGAGAAATAGCGTCCAAATATCTTAATCGCTTGATCACATCTTTCCCTTCGCTGATGTGTGATCCACCTTTCGTCTTTGCAATTCTGGAGGTCCTTACCCTCCTTCGGCAATCGTGTGAAAATGAATTCTTGGACGAGGTGTGTCTCCATCCTAATAAAACTATGTGATCTAACTCCCCCAGTACAATCCTGTTTACGAGTTCCATTCGGAAAGAGCTGGAATTACCTTACAGATGACTGATGATTATCAACGACGAAATGACATTCTTGGCCAGTTGTACCGCAACGCTAACACCTGGTTTGAACTAGCAATGGCGCGCGCTCCTATTGAACTCCAGTCCACACTACAGGTTCTACACTTCCGAGTTGCTTTGCCATCGTTCTAATAAAACCTTCAGAAATATCTTGCTGTTACTCAATCGAGTTCAGGAGACCACTCCTCCGAGCTCGGAGCATCAGTTGCTGAACATTTTGGCAAGGCGATTGGTCCTGTCGAGCGCCAGCTTAGTGAGTAGGATAGTGTTTTCGGGGTGACCTCCGCTGATTCCGAAGATAGCTTGCCTCGCTAGCCTCTCTCAATGGAAAACGGATGGAGCAAAAAGTCTGGCAAACGAAATTGCTAGCAAAAGTTTTTTCTCTGGAGAGGCTGCTGGAGTTCGATTGGCATGGCATCAAGGCTAGTTTCTTATATGAATGTGATTATTTGATTGACATTCTTCATAGCCCCCGACAAGCTGGATAAACTACCTCCACATTCCGCTCCTTCAACAGAGATCCAGGATCTGAAAAGAAAAATGTCTCGTACATCTGAGGACGTTCTGAATAAGAGCAGCTCACTCACAGTACAAGACCTGAAAAGGCTCCTCTTTAGATGTGCAGCAGCATTGCTCTCTTTGGAACAGGTTTTTTTCTTCCCTACTTGTTGGATCTCACTTACGCTACACTCAGTGCGATCACGACCTACTTCATCATCTTGTTGCCTTGCCATTCGAAGTTTCGACGCCACCCGCCATAACTGCTGGTATCCAAGTCTGGACATGGGTCATCTCGAACAAACCGAATATTGAAGTTGCCCTAATGGCCGAAGTTCTTTCTGCGTGGTCAGACAACATAAAACACGAGAAAGGAATGTTCTCCTCGTCGATAAAGTAGGTTTTGTACACCATAGTCAAAGATTTCGGCGTTGATGTTTTTGCAGCTATCAAGATCCATTCTATGAGCCGATCAGCTATAGTCCTACTGACAAGGAGATTATCGACAGAGGGAGCGCGAATGCTCGTCGAATGCTCACCCCTCATGTTCTGGTTCTTCAAATGCTGTTCAGTCGGTTGCAAGCGGCTAGATATCGTCGGCCCGGAATGATGTTTCTAATTCAACACCTGGTACTACGTTCTGCAAGAGCCTACCGTTTAATGAGGTATGAGTCCCTCTCTTATGTTATGACTCTTGGCTCATTGGACTCAAGCACCCATGCACTGGCTCGTGAAGAACGTTTCTCTCTCCTCCTCTTCGGATTTGAAACTCTGAAGAGCTCTCATTTGGATCCTTATTCAGAGAGCTTGTTGCGTGAAAGCCTTTATTCAGTTGCTTTTGCTTGGTTTTCGGTCCGCCCTCAGTATGTTTCGTATCTTTTCCCAGTTTTCGAGTTTCCAATATATTTGTAGATGGTCTTATGGTGCCAATAGGGCACAAGTAGATGCGGACGTGAAAGTGCTAGCAGAATTTTTGTCCTGTCTACAAACGGATTCTGTTCGGGAAACGTCTGAAATATCCAGTCTTTCTCCAGCTCAAAAACCATCTCGGGATTCATGTGAGCATTTTTTATCCCTTATTTTCATAGTAGGATTCTCATCGTGATCCCAGATTATGCGAACCGACTTCGAAGCATCAATCATCCTCTGCGTCTTCTCACAGAGAACGAAATGATGAGACTGTCTGTTTGGAACAATCCGACCAACGATCCTAAGCGAGGTAACGATCACATCGGAACCATCGGTGCTGCAATGCTTGATGTAAGAAATTTCATCGCTGGAGAATCACTCATTGAAACATGGTTCTGTAGACTACTTGGCATACGGTCCTTCGTACTGTCTGGGATATCGCGCCTGCGATTGCCGTGTATCTTATCGAACGTTTCAAGAATTCTAGTGTTGTCCGAAATGAAGTGACAAAGATGGTTCGCGCAAATCCTTTGGAAGTTCTTGACGTCCCAGAAGCCTTGTCTCTCTTTATTGGTGATAAAGTGGATGGGTATCTCCGAAGGGATTTCAAGGCAAGTCAAACTCATGCCCCCTCACGATAGTAGCTCATGATGCTCCCTGAAGCACCTTCTCTTATGGTATCCTGTCCCACCGGTCATTGCTATTGGTTTCTTTGAACCCCGATACAACAACGAACCACTGATTCTTCAATATGCCCACCGAGTGCTTGAACAGCATCCTGTCGACCTCACGTTCTTCTTCGTTCCTCAGGTTGTGCAAGCATTACGATATGACAAGCTCGGTGCGTGTCTTAACACCTTTTTCTCTATTTGCCTGAACAATTTGTCAAGGTTATGTGGCCCAGTTCATTTTTGAGACGACAAAGATCTCCCAGCTGTTCTGTCACCAGATCATTTGGAATATGAAGGCAAATTGTTACAAAGATGATGTAGCAGGAATCGTACGTTCTTTCGTTCTCGATGTAACCTTGCTTTGATAATTTTATGCGATAGGAGGACCCGATGAAGCCGACTCTCGACTTCATAACAGAACGAGTCGTTGAATCCCTTTCAGGTAGTGCCAGAGAATTCTATAATCTTGAGTTCAATTTCTTCGACGAAGTGACTTCGATTTCTGGGAAACTCAAGCCGTTCATTAAAAGGACCAAACCAGAAAAGAAAGTTGGTATCTGAATGAATCTCTCCTTGATAAGGCTCTCATACTTTGCTAGGCGAAAATAGATGAAGAGATGGCGAAGATAGACGTTAATGTTGGGGTGTATCTGCCCAGTAACCCTGACGGAAGAGTGGTTGATATCGATAAGAAGTCTGGAAGGCCGCTTCAAAGTCATGCCAAGGTGATTGTCGTTGTATTTACTTATTCTTGGCTTCTGATTGTAGCCTCAGGCCCCCTTTATGGCGACTTTCAAGGTCCAGAAAGAGCGCATCGTTGTCAATACAGATCCGGATTTAATTTTAGATGGGGATGGGGCGACTACCGAGACAAAGGTTGAATATGACGTCTGGCAGCAAGCGATTTTCAAAGTGGGCGACGACTGTAGACAGGATGTGTTAGCTCTCCAGATTATCGCGATGTTTAAGAACATCTTCACTAGTGTGGGCCTGACATTATACCTCTTTCCTTATAGAGTGACAGCAACGGGTCCGGGGGTTCGTATTCGCATTTTCTCCCTCTTCACCTTGTTCTCAAGTTTCTATAGTGTGGCGTCATCGATGTTGTGCCTAATGCAACTTCTCGAGATGAGATGGGGCGCGCTAAAGTGAACGATTTGCTCGACTTTTTCGTGGCAAAATATGGAGGAGAGGATACTGTTGCCTTCCAGAAAGCTCGACTCAACTTCATCCAGTCCATGGCAGCCTATTCTGTTGCCTGCTACATTTTACAGATCAAGGACAGGCACAACGGTAACATCATGATTGATAGTGAAGGCCACATCGTACATATTGGTTGGTCAACCCATCTTCTATCATTCACATCGATTTAAATATTCTGATAGATTTCGGGTTCTTATTCGACATAGATAAGTGTTCTCTGCGTGTTTCATTTTCATTGTGTTTCTAGTCTGACTCAATTTTCCGCTTTTACGTCCCGGAGTGCGTTTCAATCCCGTAGGACCTCAATGGTTACTGATCCAATTTACAGGGGGTGAAATTTGAACCAAACTCATTCAAGCTCAATCATGAAATGGTTGTTTTGATGGGGGGTCGATATTCACAGGGCTATCAACTCTTTCAAAATCTCACTGTCAAGGCATTCCTCGCAATACGGCCTCATGCTGAACAACTTATAAGTACAGTGCAGTTAATGCTGGACACTGGGCTACCGTCTTTCAAAGGAGAGCCGACCATCAAAAGGCTTCGCGACCGATTTGCACTCGGGCTCAACGAGAGACAGGCAGCAGAGTTCATGATGGGCATCATTAAGAACGCACACGAAAACATCCGAAGTACGGCATATGACGAGTTTCAACGGGTGAGTTAGTCTACATACTAGGTCTTGTCTCAACTCATCCTGGTTGGTTCATCAGCTACAAAATGGTTTGTTTTCATGTTATCACCGTCTGGAGTGCCATTCACCTCCTTCCAGGTATTCCGTACAAGTAGAGCTCAATGATTCTGATCATTTATGTGTCGTTTTGGTTCTCCAATGAAAACTGTTTGTGTATTTTGGAAGGAAAACAACAGATTCACGCGGTATCTACTTACCTTAAGCTCACAAATCTACAAGGCACTATAGCCAAGTGGTTACGGCGACAGATTCGAATACAACCTTATCTGTTCCTCTTTGAGGGCGCAAGTTCAAATCTTGCTGGTGTCGTTTCTTTTGTTCGTGTTTAGTTTGATACTTCATACGGCACAAGTTCTTCCTTGATCACGAATTTCTCAATACAATGTCTCTTGCAACACTTTTTGCCCGGAGCCTTGCTAATGCTTCCAAAGCGTCAAATCTACCCACGATCGATGATTTTACTCAGGTGCCAATGAAATTGGCCCAAACTTGAATACAGATTGACATTTTTTTGTCCAGGAGCTCATCCAGTCCAGTCTAAAGGACATATCGGCTCTGAGTTCACGGATCGCAGGGCTCTCTTTGTTTAGCCCGAATGAAACGCTCGAGGATATATCTACTGCAGACTTAGTCTATCTTCTTGTGCCCTATGTCCTATCAGAGGTTCGAGGACGCGTCAGGACCACGGAACGTGAAGAGAGGATTGTAGTGCTCAAACAAACGCAGGTGCGCCTTATATACTATCAAAAGGTTTCGAGTTGACTTAGTGTTTTAGAAAGATCTGCAGAGTTACCTGTTATATCTGGATAATTATGAGATCGTGCCTCAGGATGAACGCGCCCTCTATGATCGTCGAGCATCTGCCATTGGAGACCCCCCAAAACGACGCGAACTCAAGATCAAGCAATATCAGAAAGAGAAGGACTTGAAGGCGCGAATTGAAGTAATTATCTCATGCTTGCGTTCTCGTCTCTTACCAATTAGTTCTTCCACAGGCTCTTCGTAAACGGAGACGACAAACTCCTCTCCTAGACGACGCAGCTACGGATTTTGACCTCATAGCCTCCCTTCTTCCTTCAAAGTCTCAAGCGGGTGATGAAGAAGACGATTTTGACTCTGAGACGGAAGATATTCTTCGCGAAGCTACATTACTCCTACTGCGACTGAAGCATGCACAAACCCAAACTCAGCTTGGAAACTTGGAGCAGGAGCTTGACCTTCTTTCAAAAGCACCACCTTCGTCGCCTCGTCCCCCGCGTCAAGAAGCTGACGATCGTAGAAGCAAAACGCGCGAGAGTGACGACGATATGTGGAAGCTTGATGCACCACGGCCAAGTTTGGAAGCAGACGGGAAAGGGTCACTTCTTGATTCGTCAGGAAAGGTGAAGTCCAATTATTTTGTGACATGATCCGCCTTTTTAAGACAAAGAAATCAGGTTCTTCGGCCATTTACAATACTTCCTTCCAATGCTGCTGAACGTGCGCGTCTCCAACAGCAGGTGTTTGGCCCTGGTTATCGGCTGCCTACCATGTCTATCGACGAATACCTTCAAATCGAGAAGGAACGAGGCAATATCATTACAGGTGGCGGGTATGTTGGAATGCTGGAAATACCTTGTCATTATGACTAACATCTCACCTTACACAGTCCTGCGTCAGAAACAGCTCCGACATCCTCTGAGCAGCTTGCACTTGATGCAGAGATGGATGGGACATTTGATGGCGAAGAGAAGTCGGAGACCAAGCGAATGAAGGATGAAAATTGGGCCCGATTCACAGACGAGAATCCAAAGGGCGCCGGTAACACCATGAATCGAGGATAACTTGCCACAGGTGACCAGAATTTGGATGATTTGCCTATGTGATTTCTGTCATTGAGTAGTTGATTTATGTCGCGTGCGCGTCCATTTTTTCCCTTAGGGATCAATAAAATCTATCGGAATAGTATACTCATACACTAAAATGTGAATCAGAGCAAAGGCAAACTTGAAGAGGTATATATGCAGTTAACGTGATGATGCTGAAATCAGCACACATGGAACCCAAGGCGCTCAGCAAGCGCACTGCGATGCTTCAGGGGTTTCGCTTGATTGTGGTGTTGTGACATCGATTTCTATTCAAACCGCGTTAGTACACAGAAATTAAGGGGTCGAATGAGAGGAGATATACTGGTGTTTGCTTCACTCTGTGTCTCCTTCTCCATTCCCGGTAGTGACATGGCAATCTTCTTAAACAAGCTCTTGACATTATGCCCGGCTTTTGCAGAAGTCTCCATAAACATGATGCTCAATTGTGTCGCCTTGGCGGTCGCTTCCTCGAGCGTTACTTGCCTATCGAATTGTAAGCCGGAACACATGTATAGCTTGTAACAAGTACAGACCGTTTATCTGACAGGTCAGCCTTGTTTCCTACTAGCACAATTATCACGTCATTCCCTCGTTCTGATCTCACGTCATCTATCCATTTGGTTGTAGAGAGGAATGACTGTCGATCTGTACAGGTATCGTTCAGTCATGGTGGATGTATGAGTAGTATCGCAACATGCTTGTAATATCAAAGACGACTATTGCCACGGAAGAGTCGCGAATATAAGACGGAATTAGTGAGCGGAACCTTTCCTGTGTCGCAAGGTTAGGAAACATCGCGGTTGTTCAGACATACAACATCAGACCTGTCCAGCAGTGTCCCATAGTTGTAATCTCACAGTCCGGTCTTCAAGATACATAGTCTTGCTAAGGAAATCGATGCCGATTGTTGCTTGATAAGTATTATCAAATGTATCATACATAAACCTTTGTAGAAGGATATTAGCTCAACTGTTCGCGACGAGAAGCATATGAAGGCTCACCTAGTGATCAAACTGGTCTTTCCGACGCTCTGATCACCAAGAAGGACAATCTTTGTCCTCTTTGGGGGCGAAGAAGAGAAGTCAGCAGAAACGGGAGTTGCTGGTGCGTCGGACATGGTCAAGGTATGGTATGTTCAGTCAACCTTGAAGACACATCACGCTTTACCGCCGGCTCATCACGTGCGGAAATAGATCTCGTCTTGCAATCTCCTTTGCTCCTTTCTCATGATCGTTTGAAGAGGCACCTACAACACAAATCATTCTTTGCCTTCGCCTGCGACAAGGCTACAGGGATGAAGCTTATTGACAAAGTCACGTCTTTATCCTCATCAAACCCCTTCTTCACCTTTGAATTCTTCCCTCCACGTACTGATCAAGTACGTCACCTAATCTATTCGAATCTGAGTCTGGTTTCATGACCGATTTTTCCACGTGTAGGGATTCGAGAATTTGGTTTCACGCATCTCCCGACTATGCGCACTCAATCCGCTCGCCATCAGTATCACATGGGGTGCTGGAGGCTCGACAAGGGAGCGAAGTCTTGAACTGGCTGGTCTAACGCAAACGGAGTACGGCGTGGATACACTCCTTCATTTGACATGCACGAATATGGAACGAGGATCTGTCAATGACGCGCTTCAGGTGAGTTGGTGGCTTCTTCAACGCCATGCACCTCGGTACAAATCGGCAACTAGGCAGCCAAGGCAAATAAGATACAAAACATTCTTGCATTGCGTGGAGGTATCCCTGTGTGGCTCTTTACGATTTCTGAAAGTTGATCATATCTCGACAGATCCTCCAAGGGGCAAGGAAGAATGGACACCAATCGACCCGAACTTCCAACACGCCATAGATCTCGTCAAATTCATTCGATCTACACCTGAATTCTCTGATTATTTTTGCATTGGTGTTGCAGGTCAGTTTGTTCCCTCAGAGAAAGAAAGCTTTGTCAATTAATATCCGTGTTGTTAAGCATACCCGAACGGACATCCCGACAGCCACCTAGACCCAGATACGGAGCTTAGCTATCTCAAGGAAAAAGTCGACGCAGGCGCAGATTTCATTGTCACTCAGCTTTTTTACGATGTTGACCAATTTCTGGAATGGGTGGAAAAAGTCAGAGCAAAGGGTACGTTGCTGTCAACAAGCGTAGCATCCGTCCAACTAACTCCCGCCATTAGGTATCACTGTCCCTGTCATTCCCGGGATTATGCCGATCCAGACCTACTCATCTTTCCTTCGTTTGGTGAAACTATGTGGAATAAGAGTTCCACAACATGTCATGGATGCCCTTGTACCCATCAGTGTAGGTTTCTTCCTCCTCCCAAGCACTAGTCCCTCATTCACAAACACAAAGCACGACGACCAACTCGTCAAAGACTACGGTATCAAGCTGGCCGCTGAGATGATCGAACGGATAACAAACCAGAATGTGGTCCCAGGCTTCCACTTTTGTACTCTCAATCTTGAGAAAAGTGTTCAGCATGTGTTAGAGATCCTTGGATGGACTGGTACCACCACCCTACCATACCACAACAGACTTATTGCAGTACGTTCCAGCCCTCGTCTCCGCGACATGCAGTAACAATGCATAGGAAACCGCTGGCAACGTCATTCACCCCCCGGCCTGCATTGACGGGACCGAGTTCATGGTGACACCAATCACTGCGACAAGCACAGCAGCTATTGGGCTGGCTAGCCTTCCGGCCTCTGAGACTGAAGCGGGTCGTGGCGAACTGAATAATGCCGCATCTTGGGATGAGTTTCCTAATGGCCGTTTCGGTGACTACAAAAGTCCTGCATTTGGAGATCAGGACCATTGGGGAGGCCCTGCTATGGTATGTTCTATGCAACCCCCTCAGACAGATGATAACCGTGCGCCAAACAGCGAAACGACAAAGTCAGCCAGTGGCGCCACCCCAAGACCCTGGACGATCTTACCCAGCTGTTTTTAGACCACCTACATTCAAAGATCCCCACAACACCATTCTCACAGACGGCGTTATCTCCAGAGTCGTTATTGATTCTTGGGCATTTGGAGAAGCTTACTAAGCGAGGGTGGTGGACGGTTGGCTCACAGCCAGCAGTTGATAGCGCAAGCTCTGCTAATGAGGTGTTTGGTTGGGGTCCAAGATCGGGTTATGTATTCCAGAAAGGATTTGTCGAGTTCTTCTGCACCGCAGAAGACGTCGATGCTATTGAATGGAGGATAAAAGAAAGAGGTGAAGGATGGGTACATTGGTTTGCAGGGGATGTCAAGGTGCGTCTACCATAGATAAGACAGATAAGCACGACTGAGCAGCGAGCAGGGAGAATGCCGAGGTAATGTGCCAGAAGGTGCAAGGAATGCGGTGACATGGGGAGTGTTTCCTGGACAAGAGATAGTTCAAACAACTATCATCGAAAAGGAGTCGTTCTTGTCATGGACGGTGCGTTTGATACTAACCTTTGATACTATGAA